ATACCACATCTTCAACTTCTAAGGGTATCTCACTATTCAGAGTGGTTAAATGTAACATACACCCTTGCATTCTCCATCCCTCTTCTTTTGGTACCATCAAGTGACTTTGTCCTCACAAAACATCAGTTCTGCTTTCAATGTCTCTTCCCAGCGAAAGTAACAGACAATCAGGCATGTATAAGAGCTGGTGATCCAACTTTCTCCCCTCCATTGCACAGTCCATTGATTGTAAAAGTGTATTACATGTGACTCCTACGGTGGATACTTCTTGTTAACACATTTCTCTTGTAAATTAGCCATCACTCTTTTTTGGATCCCAGTTCTCCTCAGTCTGAATCTTCCAGTTGGGCTATCACCATTCTATCTCGTGATCTCTTCTCTTGTTTTCCCTCTCTTCTCTTTCGGTGACACTCCTTTGACCATTGACCTTTTTGTCTATAGAGGGCACATTGGTCTCTTTGCAAACCTTTTCTTCACATCTGATTGCAGTTTCTCCTATTTGTATTTCCTTAGGATCTCTTCTCGTTATTTCTTAAGGTAGCCACCAATAGAGACCTTTGAATTTTCATGTCCCTACCTTTATTCTTGTCTTTCACCTGGTCCCAATTAGTATATATCCTTAATCTATTTCTACTAATTGGGAAATTTTCATCTCTACACTATCAACTTTCTACAGGTTTTTTTCTTATATCTGGAACATTCTGACCCATAAAAATCAAATTAACCATTCTCATATTTTCAGCAGATTCAAGGTCTAAGTCAATATATTGTCTAAAAGCTTTATACAACTGCTCAAGAAATGGCCCTGATTTTTATTTGCGTTTGACGTACTTCATAAATCTTCGACAGGTTTTTTTTGCTTCAGAACCCCATTTCTAAGACTTTCCAATAAACAGCCTTTATAGGGTCTTCAATCTATGAAGGTCATTATCTTTGTTATGATTCCAGGAAGGCTCTTGATATGGCATCATCTCATATGGAACTTGGCTCACTTTTGGCCAGTTGCCATCTTGTTGCCTCGTCTCTTGCCTTCTTTAAAACTTCTCTAGCGTTAACAAAATGTTCATTGAAGTTTGGCATTCTATCCAGGTAAGGTTATGGGTGTCAATACTTGAATAAAAGGGAACATACATCCAACATGACTCCATTGCATATATCAGTGAATGCTGGTCTCTTAAATCACATAGCTTCAAAGTAGCCAGTCTGGCAGAACTGGGTGGAGGCGTCCTGGCCAGTCCCATCTGGGTTGCCAAAATTGCTGGGTCTATTGCCTAGTGTGTTCTTCCCTCAAATTGAATGTACTGAGATGGGATTTGTAAAATAAGCTTTATTCGCAGAAGAAAGGACACAAGAAAATCTCTCTCAAAGCCTAGGTAACCAACCCCAATATCCACTGGTGGGGGGGGGTGCAGCATTTTTCACAAGCTACAGCATACTTAATACTACGGGATCACAAATTGTTCTCCTATCCTTTTACAGTAAGCCTTTACCTAATTGTAATAAAGCAGTCATCTTTCAAGCTTGTAGAAAGGTTAACCACAAAATTATCGTAACTGTCATTTCAGCAGTACCATAACATAGCTTCCACTGATGTACTTCCCATTTAACAATATACTTCTCTTTTCAGCAGTATATTTTTAGCTATAATATATGCAAAGGTTTCCTGTTTATTCCTTATGCCTTGTCCCCACAATACCCTGGGGATTACAGTTTAGCAAGCTGAAACACTTATGCCTTGTCCTAAAGCTGATACCCTAAGTAAATGTTTATTGATATTTGAGGCTTCTCTACCACATTTATACCTCTTTCAATCTCTTTTCATATGGCTTAGTTTCCAATCCTGTATTCATCTTTATTGTCTGTTGCTGAACTTTTGAATCCTATTTGAAGTGTGGTGCACAAAACTGGATAAAGTACCTCATTTATGATCTGACCAAAACAAAGTAACGTGCAATAATTATTTCACATGATTTGAAAAATACAATTCTATTGATTCAGCCTAAAATTGTACGCATCTGTTTACAGTCACATTCACCCTGCTGTTCATTTTCTGTTTGCTATCAACCACAATTCCAAGATGTGCTTATACAAGTATTATTAGGTCAGGTATCCTCATCTCATACTTATGCATCTGATCTTTGTTCTCTAAGCTTCGGACTTATTTCTATTAAATTTCAGGTTTTTTTCCAGAGCTTTTACTTATTGGTTTTGATTATAAGAAATTTGACTTTCCTTGTTAATTAAGGAACCTTTTATCTAGCCTTGTTATTTATTGTACTTCTGTTTTTAATACAAGTTATTTTGAAAACACATATAAATAAAAAACCCCAATAGATTATATATGGATTTCCATTATTGGAAGAGAAGAAATAATATTTTGGCTTCCACTTGATAAAAGATCCTTTTTACCATTTAGGTCACTGATGATGGGGTGATGGCACTTGTTCGTGGAATGTGTTCAAACAATTTAAAGGTAACATTTGGATACTTAACATTTGGATACGTTTAATTAAAGTTGCTATTAGAAAGTTACATATGTGGGGGAGGAGAATTACTACATCAATGCTCAAAACTTTTATTAACACTCAAGGATACTTTTTTAATTGACAGCTGTTGAGTGAACTCCACAGAGCAGTGTGCCAAACTTAATGTAGATCATATGAATTAAGTGCTATTGCTATTGCTATATAAACATAGTATGTTGTTTTTCACTAGTACTATTGGGCAGTAAATATATCTTAAAGTTGTTTTCTGGTTTTTGTCTGTTCTTGCATATTATTTCACACATGATTTCCTCTATGCCAAGGAATACATAAACAAGAATAGATTTATAAATGCTGAACCAGAGGTTTTGGGTAAAATAAGCTTAAAACACATGAAGACTGTAATATATTTATTCAGCCCCTTCTGTCTCTTGTTCTTCATTCTATGTTACCTCACTTTCTCACCTTTCCTGAATTAAATATTGTGACTTGTAGGATAAAGTGTTCAAAAGAGAATAGTACTCAGCTGGGGCAAGGGAGCCTAATAGGTTCATACAGTTGCATGAGTTACCGGATCTCTTTTGAAATACAAATACACTACTGCAAGAGACTAAAACATAGATAAAAACAAATCTTTACTAAAGCAGTTAAAACTGTTTGTAAAATTAATTTCCCTATGCTTCCAAAATTCAGCCAGCTCAAAAATATATTTTATCACTACTTTCTGAATCTAAAATTAAGGTAGAGGTGAGATTTTTCTCTAACTCATATGCTTTCTTCATGTCACAGTATACTTTATTACTGAAATACAGAAGCGAATGAGAAAAAATTGTCCTTTGTCAGATTTGTTTTTATTTTGGTTTTGGAAGTAACAGAACTATTATCAAGAAGAAACTCCTTGGTAAATTTCAATGTACTCTAGCATATGAGATTCAAATTACTTTAGAGCAGGGTGTCAAACTGCCGGCCCGCGGGCCAGATGCATCATAGCAAAACTGCGCCCACCCCATTGCCGGCAATGCCAAAAAAAGTCGTGATACGGCACATGTCACATGATGTTGCGAATTTGACACCCCTGCTTTAGAGCAATTCATCCTGTAAGAGATTAGGAACACCAATGACTTCATGCAATTATTTGAGATATTAGTCTCTTCCATAATCTCTCTTCTAATATCCTTATTATTATTATTCCAATCATATTTCACAAAACAGATTTATTTTATTTATTTATTTAGTGATAGCTACTGATGGCATTATTCTTTACCCTTAATAGGAGATCCATATGGAACGATGTGTTAATTTAACAGATATAGCTGTGGAAGCTGTCCTCACATACTGTCCTATGATATATATTCTTCTGTTTCATGGATGCCCACTCGTAACAGGTGACTTGAAATCTTGACTAGATTGTCATAGATGTTTACTGAAAACCACATCAAGTGGCGTCAAAATGACATTGTATGTGTTATGATATCATTAGCTGCAAAACATCATCATGTGTGTGACATAACTTGGCTTTGAAAGAAAGCATTTCTAACTTATTTAATCAATAAGTTTACTGTAAGTTTTTAAGAAGAGACTGGACAGCCATTTGTCTGAAATGGTATAGGACAGGGGTGTCAAACTGCCAGCCCATGGGCTGGTTTCATCATACTGAAGCCGTGCCCATCCCATTGCTGGCAATGCAAAAAGAGTCACGATACATCGTGACAAGTCACACGATGTGGCGAGTTTGACACCTGTGGTATAGGGTTTCCTGCCTAAGCATGGTGCTAGATGACCTCCAAGGTTCCTTCCAACATTATTATTACTATTACTACATTGTTGTTGTTGTTGTTGTTATTATTAACCATTTTAAACAGTTGATGGTCTGAATCCAGGAAAAGATGGCACAGAATTTATAGTCCACTCTTGTTTCAAAGTTTGTGCATTCTCTATTATGCTTTCCTGTTGAAGAACTTTGGCCTTTCTTTTTTCACACTTTCTGGAATTGTTTGTTGAAAATTAAAGCATATTTTCATTCTCTGAATCCTTGCTCTGGGAAACTCCTGCCATTAAGAGAGCCATAACATGCTTATAAAATATTAGGAGGATGAACTGTCTTAAAAGCCAACAAAATATAATAGATCAACATATTGAAGTGGATTTTGGTTATTTATACAATGGTCTTGTTGAAAAATAACAGAAGCCCATTCCTTCCCACTACTTGTTTAGTCTTGTTTCTGTCATAAACATTTCTTTAACCTTAAAAATAAAAACTAAACATGGCATACTTTATTTGCAGATCGTTCCCGAGAAGCACTGGAGCAGCTGGTTGGGCCCAAAAAATTCAAGCAGGTTTCGTGGACTGTTTATTGATTTTTGTTTGAAATCACAAGGCACTACTCCTTTCATTCCCCCAACCCCCGGGACCATTTCTGAGAGTCTTCTCCGAAGTTCTGATTAGTAACAACATTTGCTGTTGATAACTGTAGTTTCAATTGGAGAAGAGCAAACATGCTATTCATGTTTGTTTTCCTCCAAGCTAGGTCATATCAGTGTTCTGCATTTTTGTGAAGCTTTGGGGCACTACTTCTTTAAAAAAAACATTTTTACTAATAAAAGACCAACAGTAAATGTGGGAATGCAAAAAGCAGAAAGAACACCAGTAAGCTAATGGAGCAAATTTCATGGAAGCATCTTGTGCTGCCTGCCCTGCTGTCATTTAGGTGAGGACCAGTTCTATTTCTAGGCATCCATTGTAACAGGAGCCATGGTTTGTTTGTATCCGAATAAAACCTTCAAGTTTGACAGTGCATGAATTTCATTTAATTCTATTAATAACCAGTCATAGAATGTGTGTTTGTAAAACTCAATATTTTAATTTTTAAGGGAAGAAGCAAATGTGGGGCTTTGCTGGTACCTGCAGAATGGGATGGCATATTCCAGAGGTGGCACTCAGAGGCCTCTCTGTGGGCACTCGCGCCGTCGCCCCAGTCCCACTTCCCCCTGTGGCCCCCTCACCAGCAACTTCTCCGGAGGAGAGTCACCCCTGAGCACAGCCCACACAGAGCAGCGCAGCCAAGGACATGGCAGCTGGGCAGCGAGGACAAGACTCCGCCCTCATGTCCCATCGCGCACAGATGCTGCTACGGGCACGGACAGAGGGCATGGCCACCATGGTGCTGCTGGGCCGCCTGGGCAATCTGTGGAGACAGTGGCTGGCCCTGTCGGTGGGCCGGTCCGGGGTGGGGGCAGAGCAGGTGGGACTGGGCAGAGAGGGAGTGGAGCGGGGGCAGGCGGGACTGTTTTTTGGGCACTCGGTCTCTAAAAGGTTCGCCATCTGCCATATTCCAGTTAAGGTTTTTTTATTTATTTGATTTGTAACCCCTTCTCAACCAACTATTAAAGACAACTTACAGTAACATTCATTGAAGTTTTATTTTTGAAAGCTTTTGCCAAAATAAACATGTTAGTCTGTAAACTGACACAAGGCTCTTGATTACTTTTGCTACAGAAAACTGACATGAATTCTTTTTGGAAATTATCCCACTAGGATATTATTGTTTTTAGTAATAAAAAAAATATTGACCATTATGGATTTTGACATTCTGTAAATGTAGTAATCTTTTAATTTTTACTTTTATCATGCATTACTATTAATTATTGTTGAATAAGGAATTTGACATTCATCCTAATCAATTAATTTAGCACAACTTAAAAGAATTCTCATCCACCACTGTTCAGGACAGTATATGGAGTACAGTAAGTCAAAATATAGAAAATACAAAGCTTGATCAAACCTATGAGAATAGTTGTGTTGAAACAGAAAGCAGCCTTTGTGAACATATTCAGTAATTGAGTCTGTACAATAATAATTAGCTTAATAAAGACATCAAGCCAGAATGATCCATTCGTTTGCAAACATGAGTAATAAAGCCATGCCTGAATGGATAGCATGATATTCCATTTTGGATCAGGATATTACATCAAATGTGTGCTAGAGTGGCTGAGCAGACATGATAGATGAGAACCAACAATTAAAGATCAAAACATTTATTCTCATGGATGTGGATGTTATAGAACAGCATAAAAAGAAGACAATGTTCCAGAGATCAACATACAGCAAACTTTCCCAAGGATTCCCCTTTCCTAGATGGGTCATCCACTGACTACCCAGTACCAGCAACTAGCTGTTAGGTATAGTGCCTGAGTTTAGAAGTTCCATTAGGTATAAAATTACTGTTGCTAGGCCACCCTCTACAAATAAAATGTATTTTTATTCTCGTAAACAGTATTGAGGATATTTTTAAATAATGCATTCTCGATCACAATCAGGCAAAAGTTTTTCTTTTGATTGTATGTCATACTATTGTCCCACTCTAATATGGCTGCAAATAAAGTGTTCAAACGTACTGGAATGTACATAATGATAGAAGCTAAAATATCAATGTATGGGAACTGGAGTTCAAGAGATTCAAAGTAACATCAACTGATTTCATATTTCCAAGACCTCTGAAATTTAAGGCTGATAATTCCAGATAAAAGTTTTGGTTGAACCGTTGTATTCTTCCGGTGATGATTTAGGAAGAGCATATTCACTAACTTTGTGCAACATTCTCTGAAATTGGTTGGTCACAAAATAGGGTCTGCCAGGATCCCCGATCAGCAATTCAGTGTGACCATCCTGGATGCATTTCTTCAACCATTCGGAGAGGCTGTCCGCAAGTTCTTCATTATAAAACATGTCCCCTAAGACAATAAGGTCCCACTTGCCTATATCAGTACCAATCAGGTTCTCTGTTAAAACAGGGATGGGATCTATGTTGTTCAGTTCACAGTTAAGCACTATGGCAGCAGCTGCAACTGAGATACCAAGAAAATAAATTAATTAAAATTAATTAAAATGTTGGGTTATGTTTTCTTTTTCAATTGCTGTAGAAAGAATGCAAGAAAGCTGACAAATGTGATCTGAAATTTAGATATAACCTCTTCTCCTAGAGAAGATCTAATGCAGGGTAATGTTCTTGCTTCCTAGCAAAAAATATACTTGCTGCTTGCCTTCCCACTTCATTCACATTAAGTTAGATGTATTCTTCTACATACACTTTATTGTCTCTATTAAGTAAAAATGTAAGATTTCAAAATAAGACCAACTGACAGGCTTCCCATGCAGGAACCTCTTTTGCCTCAAATACCTCCAGATGGGAGAATAAGGCATTTGAAAGCTATTCTTTACACCAGTGTTTCTCAACCTTGGTAACTTTTAAGAGGTGTGGACTTCAACTCTCAGAATTCGCCAGCCAGCTGGGAGTTGAAGTCCACATCTCTTAAAGCTGCCAAGGTGAGCAACATTGCTTTACATCAGTGTTTCCCAAACTTGACAATTTTAAGGCATGTGGACTTCAACTCCCAGAATTCCACAGCTAGCATTGCTGGCTGTGGAATTCTGAGAGTTGAAGTCCTCATGCCTTAAAATTGTCAAGTTTGGGAAACACTGCTTTACATAATAGAAAACATTTCCAGAACCTGCCAGGTATAGATACACCAGCATTTCTAGTATTTTTTTCCATGTGAGAGTCAGTGCTTGTCATTCTCAAAAAATAGACATTTGCTGAAGGAGATGACCTGCTCTCTTATTTTAAAAGCATTTATGACATGAAATTAAACCAACATATGGTCTGGTTTGAGATATGAAATCAATCATTGTAGGGGTAGCATGCGTGTGCAGCACACTGCCGTGCTTTGCACCCCCACAAATCTCCTAATTCTATACCCTTTGCTCCTATACCCTTTGCCCCAGTGAAGCAGCCAAAAGGTCACAGAACACCCCCTTGACTTAATGCCTCACGTACTGAAACAGATAACAGGCTCAGTTCCTTCTTCTATCTTCCTATCTTTGTTAGTTCCTTCTTCTATCTTCTGTCTTTGTTCCTTATCTAGTTGTTGACCGTATAATATGTAACTAGAAAATAGTTTGTTAGATGAAAGAATTATCCAATGAATAAATGATTGTCAAGCATCGAATGATTAAGAAAGCTTGTGTATGTAACAAGGGATATAAAAGCAATAAACAACGACAGACGTTGTCAGCTTCTGCTCAAGACATGCTTGTGACTGGTTCTTAGCGCCAACAAATCATAACTCAGCATTGTCTTTTTTCTTTTTACCCACTTCCCATTGTAGTTATGTGTGAGCTTGTTAAACCATAGTTTAAAACTCCAGAGTTATCATTATGTGTAAATCTAATACAGATCTTTAGATTTCAAAAGATGCTTGACACTGTAGGTTTATCCTAATGAACTTAGCTTGTCCTACATTTGGTAGAAAATAGCTTACCGGGATCAATATCATTTGCAACAACTTGTGATGCTCCACTTAGTGTAGCTGCAATAGCTGTTGCTCCACAACCACTTCCTAGATCCAGAACTTTCTTCTTTTGGACCATTTTTGGATTATCAAGAAGATATCTGAGTATATTTTGAAAATAAAGAATAATAAAAAAAAATCAATCTTGCAAAGTCTGTTAATCAGTTCTTCAAAATGCCTTAACTCAATTTGATCTGAAGATGAAGCTTACATCTCTAAGCAAAATGCTAACAACTTTGTCTTTTAATATGAAAGTGCTTCATCATCAACTAAGTTAAAATTGTATGAGAATGACTAAAAGAAATTATGGTTGTTACAAATTTTTATTTTTACAAACCATACTTCAAGCTGAAATTGAAGAGAGAGAGCTTCTCATCCTGTGACAAAAATATCCATTGGATAAAATTGAAAATTCAGGAGCTTGATTAACCCTAACTAAATGACCATGAAGGCCACCTCTGGAATTCATAAGTGGAAGGATGTCTTAATATATTATATTAAGTATATTAAGCCATATTTATTTCAATTATTACTTAATATAACAATCAGTTTGCTTCCATGAATTGTGCTACACTACAAAGAGGGACACAAAAGCTAGGCTTATGTGCTGTAGATGCTAAATCAGCCAATGAAATCTTGGGTTGTATCAACATAACAACTCATTAAAATAACAGGAAATACCTACAGTGGTCATCCCAGAATGCCCAGAATACTGGGTGTAGTTCTGGTCATTATAATACAAGAAGGACACTGAGGAATTGGAAAGAGTGAAGACTAACAAAGATGATGAGCTTGAAAATGGAATCATGTAAAGAAAGGTTAAATCTAAAAAATAGGAAAAATAATAGTCAACTTTCATTGTTTAAATGTCACAGGGTATGGATTTATTTTGTATAATGCCTGAGAATGGAGTGGATTTCATGGCTGAAATCCAAACTGAACAGCAACAATTTTCTGACCATGTGAGCTATTAAGCGTGCCTCCTGGAGTAATGGATGCTTTGGTGGTGGTGGAGGTTTTCAAGCTAAGATTGGATAGCAATTTCACTGAAATAGTCTCAGTATCCTTATCCTGGGCAGAGGGTTGGACTAGAAAACCTGCAAGGTCACCTCTCCCAAACTCATGAGCCTCTGAGATACTCAACCAAAATTATTATGGTGCTTTATCTATAATGGTCACCAGGGGCAATATTAACTGGGTTCAGCTGATAAATCCTAAATAGGACAAAACTGATCGTATACTGTCACCTGGTGGTCAATATAAGTAAAAGCACAACACAAGGTATACAATACATAGGTATGTAAAAATAGAGACATTGTAAAAATAAACCCTTTAAAAGGAGTTGTAGTAGAACTCATATAAAAGCTTGTATGTGATGCATGACATTTGTAACATCCACATCTCTCTGGTATGAGAGCTTAAGAAAAGGGAAGTAGGTCATATATACCACTCTAAAGACTTAAAAAATAAACCACATTATGGCTCAGTGCAATATACAGTATTTATTTATGAGACTTATACACCGCTTTTAAGTGCAAGCACTCTCTAAGCAGTGTACACCAGTAAGCAATGTATATATATATATATTTCCATTGCCCCCAACAATCTGGGTCCTCATTTTACCTACCCCGGAAGGATGGAAGGCTGAGTCAACCTTGAGCCGGTGAGATTTGAACCGCTGACCTGCTGAACACAGTCAGCTAAAGTGGCCTGCAGTACTGCACCCTAACTGCTGCGCCACCTCGGCTCTTATCAGTATGAACTCAGTAAGCATGGCTGAGTCTGCATTTTAATGTTTGCTTTAATGTGTTCTTACGAACTTTTTACTGAGCCATGGTTTCCTAACAGTAAGTAAATTTTCAGTGGTCAAGAGGCACCCCTGACATTTTGGAAGTTGAATGCTAAAAACTGGGTAGGACACATCTTGTATGTGGCTCGGATTGAAATTTTGGGAATATTTTGCATTATGGCTCTGTTTCTCACCTCTCAAATTTGGGTCAGTTTTCATCATCATCTGGGAAAGATCTGAAGGCCACATATAGCTTTGGGTCAGCAGGTTGCCTATTTGATTTTCTGAATAAAGCACAAAAGACTAGGTCCCAGAATACATTAAGCAACAAGCCTTGGTTTACAAGTCACATTGATGGGTTCACACAACTTTATAGTCACAAACAAATCACATTTTGGTTGAATATGCTGCAGGAACCCAGTAAATACATCATGCTGAAAAATCAGGCCACTAGATTGGGGAAGGTTGCTATATGTAGTTATATCTTGTATGGGGCAGTTTGGGTTCAAAGGATCAAAATGGAACTATCTCATCTATTTAAAGAGCTGTGGTGGCACAGTAGTTAGAATGCAGTATTGCAGGCTAACTCACTGCTCACTGCCAGGAGTTTGATTCTGACAGGCTGAAGGTTGACTCAGCCTTCCATCCTTCCAAGGTCAGTAAAATGAGGACCCAGATTGTTGGGGACAAAATGCTGACTCTGTAAACTACTTAGAGAGGGCTGTAAAGCATTATGAAGCAGTATAAAAGTCTAGATGCTATTGCTATTTATTAGGTTGATATCCTGTACAGGAACAGCTCAATAGTTCTACCTTGTCCTCACAATAACAACCCTGTGCAATAGGCTGGGCTCAGAAAGAGCAATGAGCCCAAGGATGCCAACTAGGCCTTCTAGTCTCTGGTCAAACACCTTAACCAGTAGACTACACAGGTTTTCTTTGTTTACGAAAACTTTGTAATTCCAAGTAACACAAGAGAACTAGCCAGCACCAATTAAAGTTTCCTAATGGTTCTGGGAATAGGAAAGGAAAACAATTATAGCATTCATAAAAGAGGTGGAAATTAAAACCTCAATGGTCAGGACAGCAAAATCTAAAGAAAGAATTTGGCAAACTCGGCAAAAGATCTTGTGATATGTGATGTGAGATTATCAAAATCTTTCAAGTCTTTGCTTTATTTGCTTCTATTTCATTCTGAGATTTGTAGGCACCAACTCTGAGATAGTTATTCTAGCAATCATTGAAACAGGAATTAAGCCTAGTATGGATATAGCTATATTAACTCTGAAGATTTGAGATCATTGTTCAGTTGTATTTCTAAATCTAGTCCTTAACCTGGATGTATTGATTTCAAAAGGCCTCAACTGCTCCAGAAGATATAATTCAGCATAATGATTTATGCAATAAATTCAATTTATCTGAACAATGTACCCCCTATAACAGGTAGCCTATGAAAAGTACCTGGAAATCTCAATGGTCCACAATGCTGTAGCTAGTTTAATAACTAAGGGCAATGATAAATAGTATATAATTTCTTTGTTAATCTAGTACTACTGGCAACCAGTCCCTATTTGGGACACCATTCCATGAGATTTAGGCTGGGTTTGCATTACACTCATCTATCAGCACTGTATCTTAGAATGATATAGTGAGTTTATTGCTCAGTTCATTCTTCCCCAACTTGGACATCTTCCCAATGTATGGACTTCAACTCCCAGAATTCTCCATCCAATACGATCAGTATTGAGAACTGTGACAGTTGAAGTTGACAAACTGAAGGGCAATTTATTTGAAGACTCATTAAAGTTATCAGCAGAACTGAGAAACAAAGTCCTACATGACTTGGAATAAGGATTCTTTGATACACTAATATGCCTCAGGCTTTATAGTATACTGTTAAGGGAAATCAGGTGAGTTTATTTTTACTATCCTTTATTATACCATTATAGCACCATTTAGTCAGCTTCCTATTAAACTGATTGCACAGCAGGTAAATCTCAGCCTTCTGGTGTTCTATACCTGGATAATCCTTGACCGCCTGGCCAGTACATTGCCCAGTATGGCTCCCCATAAGGCCACAAAGCAGCTTTGTCATGCCAAAACCTGCAATTAGGAGTCAGAAGATGTAGTCTTATTTCTGGGGTCAGGTTCCCGCTATCGATGATTTCCGTATTCTGCTCTAGAAACATTCTCAGTTCAGGATCTACATGTCTTCCTGAAGTTCTTTTATGGTAGCACCTCCAAACCAAACAGCTTCTTTGCTTCTGCTGCACGTCTTTTCCAAAGCTGGTCCTACTGCAAAAGTGCAGCAATCTTCTCCAACTGAGGAAAACCATGTGTCCTTTTCCTGCTAGGCCAATGTCTTCCCAACTTCAATATAGATCGTTAAAAATATTTGCCCGGAGCATGTCAAGATTCTCTAATGTCAGACTGGAATTGAGGAGATCTCACAGTTCTGGCTTTCAGAAGGAATGGGCAACGCTCCTAAAAACAAAAGAAGAGATTTTTGGTTCCTGAAAAGAAAATAACAGATTTTTACTACACAGATTGGCATAGGTTAATTATTTAAATGAGAACTAAGGCAGGCTGTGCTTTTGTATTTAAATTGTATTATTCTTGTTTCTGATTGATATTGTTATTCTTTTACTTAACTACCCCTCTCTGAATTGTTTTATGAACATGGAGGGAAGCTTTTGTTAAGGCCACTAGTCCACCCTGTGTAGCCTTTTCTGAGTGGCGGAATATTTTTGAACTTTGAATTTCTTGTAAAACCCATGTTTCATTGCTGACCTTGTTATGAATAGCATAAATTAAATGTTGCTCTCACTTCTTCCTGATTATTACAGCTACAAATGTTTGCCCAGTTTCCACCAACAGATCCTTTTTTCATTATAAATGCACTATAGATTATTATGTCTTTGTATGTATCTTACAAATGTTTTGTGTCAGAATCAAGAGCTGGGGGGGGGTTGCAAAGGCCACATGAAAATCTCTTTGAAACGGAGTATAAAGTAAACATCATCAAATAAAAATCTCTTTGAAACGGAGTATAAAGTAAACATCAGCATTTTCAGAACAAAAAAAGGAATTTTTAAAAAATATACCCTACAGCTCATTTTTAGTTCTTTGCCTCCACCTCCTCCCTTAGGGCTCTCTTATTTAGAACATAAAAATCTTTCAAAACAAACTTGATGCTTAATACCTATGTGGACATGTCCATATCATTCTCCTGGCAGCAATATAGAATTTTTAGATTTTTTGTTTTAACATCCTAGTTTAATTCGTAACTCTGAGATTTCCTGGTTATTTCCAATCCAAGATTTAACTGGAAGAGATCAACTAGATCACATGATGTGTCGCGACGTATTGCGACTTTTCCCCCATTGCCAGAGCTGGGGTGGGTGCAGTTTCGGAAATTATATGTACCTCTTTCCATTATGGCAAACATATCCAACACACCTTCCTCCTATTTTCCCCACCACAACAAACGATGAGGTGAGTTGGGCTGAGAGAATGGCTCAAAGTCACCTTGGTGACTTTCAGGGCTAAGAAGGGACTTGAACTCATGGTCTCCCATTTTCTAGCCTGGTGGCTTAACTATTAAACCAAACTGGCTGCTAATGGTTGACAATGTACTACAGATTTAAACAAGCACTTATTTGAGATATGAAAGAGTTAAATTATTTCTGTTCTATTCTATTCTAATTTGTCCTGTCCTTGGAATGAAACAAGGTACAGAATAGTGCAGATCTTTCTCAATTGCAATACACAAAATTTAAAAAAAAAAATTCCTTAACCTTGGATGGTCTTATCCTTGGCAGGAGGAGGTAAAGCACTCCAAGGATGAGATCTGATAAACTTATCCTCCTTTCCCTTGGTAAAAATCAAGTGAGACAAAGTTATGTTTGTAATTCAGATGCGATTAATTATGGAGTCTATATAAACTGGTTAGAAACCTTCATGAGGTGGAACTTCATTGCACATATAATTGGAAATATGAAAGGGTTTGCTCCCCACCATTTATTTATTTATGAGACTTATATACCGCTTTAAGTGCAAGCACTCTCTAAGTGGTGTACACCAGTAAGCAATGTGTATATATATATACCACTCTAAAGACTTAAAAAATAAACCACATTATGGCTCAGTGCAATATACAGTATTTATTTATGAGACTTATACACCGCTTTTAAGTGCAAGCACTCTCTAAGCAGTGTACACCAGTAAGCAATGTATATATATATATATATATTTACATTGCCCCCAACAATCTGGGTCCTCATTTTACCTACCCCGGAAGGATGGAAGGCTGAGTCAACCTTGAGCCGGTGAGATTTGAACCGCTGACCTGCTGAACACAGTCAGCTAAAGTGCGTTTTTCTGAGTGGCAGAAAGGACATAAAGTCTTTTGAATTTTTATTCTATTCATTAGTGCAGTGCTTCACAACCTTGGCAATTTGAAGAAGTGTGGACTTCAATTCCCAGAATTCCCCAGCCAGCAAGAAGAGGATGACTAGCAGCAAAGTGGCTGGACTCAGTTACCGTGGCAATGGGTACACCATTGGGAAGCTTGAAAGACCAGATTATGAATAGATCTTCATGGAGAAAATCTATCTATCTGGTTGCTAGGAGTCAAAAATTATGTCATTTCCTGAGAGCAACTGATGGAGATTTGCAAAAACCTTATTCTGCATAGAAGAAAGGACACAGGGAGATCATTCCCACTAAACCAGTGCAAAGGCCACTTCTTCAACAGTAGTTTTTATAGGTACTTCTCCATAAACCCACCTTAAGGTCATTTTATGACCTTATCAAGGTTTATTAATATTGCTTACCTTGCATTTGCAATGTCTAGCAATCATCAGCACATTTGCCCCTAATTTCCAATAATAAGTACCACAGCAGCCCCCTCCCCCCAAGTTCCTCTTTTCACACAGCATAGCATTACTTTATGTATTCAGCAAAAAAAATATATTTTAGCACAATCATTTAGTTCAAAATGTATTTTAAGCACATCTGCTCTCCAGATTTCCTGTTCACATAGTCACCTTGTTCCATGTCTACATTTGCGATTCCCTTTAAGCAAGCATTTGCTGTGGATTTAGCTAGTAAAATTATTTCTATTCCTCTGTATGCATGAACAATTAACTAATTTCAGTGCCGCAATGGGGTGTAACCATATAAAGGCCAAAAAAGCCAAAGTTAGGAGAGGATCCTAGAATACAGTGTCTAACTTTTCCTTCACATTTTCAATCAATAAGCATTTCTCACAGTAATGGATGTGCAAGCACACACACTAAGCTGCATTCTACATTCATGGTTTCCATGAAGTAGGAAGCAGGGCTAAACTGTACATTGTACTTAGCTGTAAATATGAATTAGCCTCTCAAACTTCAAGACTTTTGTTTCTTTGGCTTGAAGCAGCTGCCTCTCAGAAAGACCAGAATGAGGACAAAACAGGAGATTAACCCATTATGTCCCACTTACGTTGAATTCAAACGCTGTTTTTCTGTACTCCATTACAAAATGCCTAAGAATTGTTTATAGAACATCCTGTGCATTAAAATCACCTGTAAAATGCCAAGCGTCAGTACATTAGCTAAATAATTTATAATCTATCCTTGGTAACCTCCAGCTTCCTTTCTCTTGTCAAAAGAGGAAAAATATTTGACGGAAAAAAAATACTTCAAACAAATATAGTGAATTCGAAGGCTAAGAAAGAAAAAAAAAGCCTGGAGCCACAGCGAGTACAAATGTGGTTTCTTCCTTTATGCTTTATAAATATATTCAAATGATTTGAGAAAAAGGAACTTTAAGACGTGTGGACTTCTACTCCCAGAATTCCTCAGTCAACAAGTTCATTAATTTGGCTGGCTACGGAATCTCTGGGAATTGAAGTCCACTATTCTTTCAAGTCGCTGGTGACGACAAATTTAGGAACCGCCTTCCGCGGACATACGGACAAAGCGATTGGAAGCGCTGCCCCGTCGCTGCAATCCCCAGGGCGCCTTGATTTTCAAAAGACCACTTCTTCAAATGGGAACCGGAAGTGTTAGGTTTGCGTTCCTATTTGCTTCTCTTCGTCCCGTGACTCAGATTCAACCCGTCTATTCGGTTTTCCCTCGTGGATTCCCCTCGTAGGAGGGGAATTATAGGGATTATAGTTCCACCGTTCTCAGCCAGCGGCTTATTGGTCGTGCTGGTTGAAGAGGCATGGGCAACGTAGGTGGCAAGCGCTGTGTTGGAAAAGATTGAGTTTATTCTAGTTTATTCTAGTTGAATAAGAAAGATGTAGCTTTGGATCAAGTCAATGAACGAGTATGACGTCTTTGATTCATTTCTTTAATTGGGTTTTATCGCGTTTAGAATGGGTGGAGAACAGATCATGTTCCAGGTCACAATTATGCAGAAATATTGAAAACTTAAAAAGGATTCACAAATCTTTGAGCGCCTCTATACCCTATGCTGGCTTCACAACACCTGCTACCCTATGGTTTACTCCAGTGGTCCTTAACTTTTTTGAACGAATCGCTCCCTTGAGCCAATCAGGAAGTTGTCATCGCCCCCCTCCCCCAACATAACCTCTCATAGGAAATAATTCTTCAATTTATGCAAACACTTTTTTTTGTTTTCTTTAAAATTGTCTTCAGGACATATCGATGCAAATAATTTATTTCCAGTCTTTTTCCCATATCTCAACTGTACGAAAAATTTTGGTGCTACCCATCACTTTACTCCCAAACTTCATAATACATGTATTTCATTATTATCTTATTTATTCAAGACACTTAAATGTAATGACCACTGAAAACAAAATTCAATTGCAAGAAAGTGAAATGCCCGAAAAGAAAAACAGTAACATTTAATGATTGAATTACAAGTGAAATTTAAGACCCAAAAAGAAATATAAAAAGGGCAAAAGAACAAATCGCAATGCAGGAACTAAGAATTGCAAGACGAAAACTCTGAAACTAAATTAAGATTGGAGGAAAGTATATATAGTCACGCACACTGTAAAAAGAATTAAAAAGACAAAGAAAATATAATATCGAACTGGAGTGCATGCTAAAAAAGTACAATACAAAGAGACACACAAAATGTTTTACAGAGCACAACACAAATTTGAAAACGAAGCCGATGTGTATTCACATATGTACAGCGTTCTGTACTGAAGCTAGCTGGAAGAACATTTGAAAACACAATTGAATCCACTAATAGCAAGCGATCTGATGTTTTTGTACGATAGATATACAGCAATTCACTGTACGAAAAAGTCTCAAAAGTGTCCCCAAAACTTCTCGCTCCATTGCCCCCATATCGCCCCCTTTTTGTTCCTTCGCCCCCACGTCGCCCTTTTTGTTCCATCGCCCCCCTGAAAAATGAAATCGCCCTCTGGGGGGCAATATCGCCCAGGTTAAGAACCACTGGTTTACTCAATCATTTAGTCAATAAACAAGTCAAATCGGCAGGATTCTTAAAGACTGTCAAAGAAGCAATGATGTCCTGCTAGCATCGTACAAAGTAGCTATGCTGTCATACACCTTGCCTAGAGATTACTGAGCTTTATACAGGTAGCCCTTGACTTACAACAATTCATTTAGTGACTTCAAAGTTACAATGGCAGTAAAAATGTGATTTATGACCATTTTTCACAGTTACAACCTTTTACAGGCAATAATCTTGATCAAAATTCAGATGCTTGGCAGCTGATTCATATTTATGACAGTTGCAGAGTCCTGGGGTCATGTGATCCCTTTTGGAACCTTCTGATAAACAAAGTCAATATGGAAGTCAGATTCACTTAACAACCGTGTTACTAAACAATTGCAGGATTCACTTAACAACTGTGGCAAGAAAGGTCATAAAATGGCAAAACTCAGGAGCCTCTTCCGATGTCTGGAGGGTCGAAGCGGTTCCTGGCGGGTGAATGAATGGAGGGCAGGTCAGAGAAGCCGGGAGCAAGTCGGGCTGTTTGGTTTCCTCCACGGTGTGGAAGCAGCGAAGGGACGAGGCCGAAACATGCCGGCTGCTGCTGTATAGGCTTTCCCTCCCCAAATGTAATCCTTATGCCGCATGATTTAAAACTGCTGCCTGTGATTTTCTGCTGGGCGATTTGGGACATTTAAGAAATCTTTGTTTTTCATATTTCTTAACCGCCCAGTTCCCTCCGTCTTCACGTAACACTTGATTCCTTGAAATTTTATTGACATGTATTTTCTTGGGAAGTGAGGAGTTTCTTGGTCAAAAGGGATGCTTTCTTTCAATGCTTCATAGGATTTGGACATCATTTTATTTCTAAACATTTTTACATACATAAATTCATAGGTTTGTATTTCTGTGTGCATATACATGTATAATCTGTATAATCTTTAGTATTTTCAGGTATATTTTATAATAAAAATTTGCAATGTTAAAAAAAAAATGGCAAAACTCACTTAAATGTTTCACCTAACAACAGAAATTTGGGGCTCATTTGTGGTCGTAAGTCGAGGACTACCTGTACAAATTGTTCTCACATGCTGATATTAGGCTGTCCTTGATATTATGCAATATGTTTACCAAAGCTTGTTGAAATCGTACAATATGGCTATTACAGGTGTGAGAAAATAATTAATGTCTCTGGGTCAGTGATAGATAAAAAGAGTTGCTAACTACCAGAAAACTTGTTGATTGAGTAAAAGCCTGAGCCTGCTGAGTGATATTTAACTGAAGCCTGAGCTATGGCCTTCTGTAGAATATAATGAGAAGACTCGACTGCAAGGTGATCAAACCGGTCAGTCCTAGAGGAGATCAACCCCGACTGCTCCTTAGAAGGCCAGATCCTGAAGTTGAAACTCAAATACTTTGGCCACCTAATGAGAAGGAAGGGCTCACTGGAGAAGAGCCTAATGCTGGGAAAGATTGAGGGCAATAGAAGAAGGGGACGACAGAGAATGAGGTGGCTGGATGGAGTCACTGAAGCAGTTGGCGTGAGCTTAAATGGACTCCAGAAGATGGTAGAGGACAGGAAGGCCTGCAGGAACGTTGTCCATGGGGTCGTAATGGGTCAGACACGACTTCGCAACTAACAACAACAACAATCTGCATACATTTCTTTATAGAATAAGGAAGGAACCAGAAAGTGTGGGAATTGAGGAACTACCTTTGCAACAGGACGCGTGTTTGCAACAGTACATGTCAAAATGGTAATGTGGGAAGTTGTGGTAAAAGCAAGAACAAGAACTAGCGCAATTATTGTAACCCCTGAAGTCACAAGTTTGTGGTTTTAACATATAAAAGGGTAATCTTTTTTTTTCCAGAAGTAATACAATTTCTTTTTCCCAGACTACAAGCTAGACAGGATTCTTGAATATATAACACAGTACCAGAAAAACTGAATTAGGAAGATATCCCTATGTCCATACACATCCATGCCACTATACTCTTTTGGTTGGGCAGCATCTTACATAGCAAGGCATGAGAAAGGAGAAATGGAAATACAACTATTTCTAGTTTACACTGAATCCATTTGTTATTTTTTATTTGGAGATAGCACCATCTCTTTATACAAGTAATCCTTGACTTACAACAATTCGTTTAGTGACCGCATACAAAGTGAATTATGACCGTTTTTCACACTTATGACCATTGCAGCATCTTTATGGTCATGTGATCAAAGTTCGGATTCTTGGCAACTGATGTAGTTATGATGGTTGTAGTGTCCCAGGGATATGTGCTCACCTTTTGCAACCTTATGACAAGGAAACTCAATGGGGAAGCCAGATTCACTTAACTGCATTACTAATTTAACAATTGCAGTAATTCACTTAACTGTTGCAAGAAAGGTTATAAAATGGGGCAATATTCACTTAACTGTCTTGTTTAGCAATGGAAATTTTGGGCTAAATTGTGCTCATAAGTCAACTACCTTTACCAATAAACCTAGACCACTTTAGTAAGTATTCTTCCAAAATACACTAATTCATCTACTCACTATAGTTTGTTGTAATTTATATATATCATGTTTCCCCAAAAATAAGACTGTGTCTTTTTTTTTTTGCCTCCAGGTCTTATTTTCAGGGGGTGTCTTTCATACTTACCTTTGGCACTGACAGCCCCACCCAGCTGGTCCACTTCTTCTGGGGCCGAAGAAGCAGCTTCATTCTGCAGCTGCATTCCAGCCTGCATTTCCTAGTCAGGCCTTTCCAGAAGGCCTCTGCAGCCGAGTACTGGGCTATGGATTCAGTCCATGGCTCGGTTCTCAGGTGCAGAGGTCTTGCAGAACTGAGTTATGGATTGAATCCATAGCTTGATTCACAGCTGCAGTGGTCTTCCGGAAAGGCTTCTGACTGCAAAATGCAGGCCTGGCTGCAGAAGACACTGCAGAAGAAGTGGGCCGGCGAGGAGAGGCCTGGCTGCAAGATAAGTGAGTGCGGTGCACGTGGGGCAGATCCACCCACCCACCTCTGCCCTAGCTTGATTTTTAGGTGTGTGTCTCATCCCAAACTAGGGCTTATTTTGGGGATAGGGCTTATATTAGTCCCACCCCCCAAAATCAAGGTAGGGCTTATTTTTGGGATAGGACTTACTTTCGGGAAAACACAGTAATTTGCAATTGTTCAGTCCATTTTCCCTGTCAAATACATGTTGGTCTTCGATACGTTGAGGATTTTTTTAAAAAACATTTTTCCATTAACCAAACAAGTATGAGAATGGAGAAAAGGGGTGAAATTGAGGTAATTAACTAATAGTCATACCGGTAGCATCTTCACATACAATAGGCCAAGGATTATAATATATACTGTAACATCCTCAGTAGGAACACAAAAGGCAGCTGACCTTGTTGGACGTGGACGTTTAGCAGGGTCAAACCTAGTTAGAACTTGGACTGGAGACCACAGAAAATCTCGGGTCTATAAAGTAGACTTGGAAGTCCAAAAAACATC